AGAAGGGTCCCAACCTGAAACGTCAGCTTTCCTGCTCCTCTGATGCTGCCTGGCCTGCTGTGTTCCTCCAGCTCCACACTGTGTTTTCTTTAAGCTTTAATGGTCAAACTTTTTAAATCAGCTGGAGGCAGTCAGACTTTAGCAGCTATTGACTGTGCACCAGTTGCATGGAGGTAACTGAAGAAACAAGGAAAGAGTTTGAAACATTCATAACATGGTTTTGGCTCCCTTACATTTCATCACGAGATACTGTAACTTGAGTTGCATTTGTGTCCAGTAAAGTGAGTCATGATGGTAATCTCTTTCATTAATCTCTTCAAGAGCTGCTAACGTGACATTGGCTGTCTTAATTTCTCGACTCTCCTTACCCACTCTAACTTGTTTCTCTGGACTTGCTGCATTCCATTCTCTTGGGTCCTACCTTGACTTTGTTATCAAACCTGCTGATGCTGAATGCCAATTCTCAGACATATTCTCCCATCTCCCCCAGATCATGGTTCCGCCATTGAATCAAGCTGTAATTCTTCACCACTGATGTGCTGTCCCTCTACATGCCTATTCCTCATCAGGATGATCTGATGGGTTCCCGTTTCTGTCTTGAAAAGGCGGCTGAACAGTCTTCCTCCACCACCATCCTCTTTCACCTGGCAAAGACTGTTCTCACTTTGAACAACTTCTTTAACTCATCTCATTTTCTCCAAGTCAAAAGTCTGCCTATGTGCACCCATACGCATCTCAGATATACCCATCTCTTTGTGGGGTATGTACAACGTTCCTTGTTCCAGTCCTACTCTGGATCCACCTACAACTCTCTTTGAAACATAGATTATGGCAATGGTGCCGCTTCCTGCTCTTGATTGGAATTGGAGAAATAATCATCCATTTTGCTTTCAACCTCCATCCTTGTGTCAGACACAGAATTTATAAATAAAAGAACAAACAGATTCTGAACAAGATCTCACACCTAACATGCACTGTCTGACCTAAAACGTCACCTCTTCCTTACACTGATAAAACCTTTGCTTCTCTCAGGACTGAGACTTGAAAGGAATTCGGGGATTTACATATACATATTAATCAATTAAACCTTCTAACTGATTAAAGATTTAACAGCATCTTAGATTTGTTTAGTACATCCTCATCAATGGTTTTCTTATTTTTACTTTTACTTATAAATTCTGTGTCTGATACTTGCCTCTCTCACTAACACCTGAAGAAGGACAGAGGCTCTGAAAGCTTGTATTTTCAAATAAACCAGTTGGATTATAACCTGGTGTTGTGTGATTTCTGACTTTGTCCACTCCACTGAGGCTGACAGGTCCCTCTGCCATATTTAACCTCTCACACTTCTGCCTTCACGCTTTCCCGTCCCTCCCAGAACAAAGATAGGGTTCCCTTCATCCTCACTTTCCACCCAAATTGCCTCTACATTCATCCTTGTATCTCTGCCATTCCAGCAGATGCCAGCAAGCACATCTGCCTGTTCCATTCACTGTCAGCATTCTGCAGGGCCCACTTCCTCTAATACCCTGATCCACTTGTTTAATCAGTCCTATCACTTCCTCACTTCTCTATCCCATGAAATCACAGAAGGTGAAACACTTACCCACTCATCTCCTCTCGCCTTACTGTCCAAGATCTCAAACACGCCTTCCAAGTGAAGCAGTGTTGTTCTTTCAATCTAGTCTACTGTATCTGCAGGTGGTCTCCTTTTTGTCAAGGCCAAATACAGACGGGGTGACCACTTTGCTGTCTAGAGGAATGACCCTGACGTCCCAGCTGCTTGCTATTTCAATAAACCACATTGCTCTCAAGTTAAAGTTTCTGTCCTGGATCTGCTGGAACATTTCAACAAAGCACAACAACAAACTCAAGCAACAACACCTCATTTTCTACTTAGAGATTTTACAGCCTCACAGACTCAATACTGGATCCCACAACTTCAGAACCAGACCTCATGATGTTTGTCTTCCATTTTTCATACAATCTCCTTCACCAAGCCAAGGTCTTGTCTTATTTATTAATTTTTCTCTCAGCAAAGAGGACTTTCTCCCTTTTGCAGCTTAATTTACACCCATTTTACATCTCTATTTCTCTTTCGTCACAGTTACCAACACCTTTGTCTTTTGCACAGGGCTTCCACATCATTTGTTCCCCTTGCCCCTGCCAAAAGTGCAAAAGCTACCTTTTTATACTTCCTCTCAATTCTGAAGAGTCATATTAGACTTGAAACCTTAACTCTATTTCTCTCTCCACAGATGCTGCCAGACCTGCCGAGTTTCTCTGGCATTTTCTGTTCTTCTTCCATGAGCGCGCTGTGATTGAAAGAGGTAACTACCCATTGAACAATGTGTTTGTCAGATGGTTGCAACTGAAACTAAAAAGTGGTCAATTAAAAGATTGACATTGTAATTGCAGAAAAGAATCAGATGAGTCAAAGAAAGTTTCAATCTCATTGATAACAAGGTAGAATACATTTTTCTCTGTTGTAACGGTAGACTATTATGATAACCAAGGGCTGGATGCTACACTCAGGATGGTTCCCTGATCTCTCAATAAATTTCAGGGGCATGCCAACTTCCACCTAAATGGTTCACACTGCTTTATTATTTTTGGCTGATGGCCTTTAATTAGTACGAGGCAGGACTTCTATCCATCTTGAAGAGAATGGCCTGGATCTCAGACCTACCAACCAGCAAAAGTAGTGGCCCCTCCCGGTCAGTCTGCAACTATGCTAAAGAGGTTACGTATAGTGATGGATGCAGACATATGGGCAAGTCTGAGTTTGTACTGAACCCAGGCTGACAGGGTAAGAGGGCAGGGTGGACATAGCCTGGAAAACTATTGGATTGGGGACTCCAATTGACACATGGGCCCTGGAAAGAGGCATTCTCCACTTTCCATGAGCAGCCCCCTTTCGGGGGTAAACTTGCAGGGCCACACTTTGGATATAGGCCCCTCTCATAAAGTGCCAACTAAGGGCCTCAACTGTGCCACTGGCAGGTGACACACTTCCCCAAGTGCATATAGAATTGTGAAGGGAGCAGGTGGATTGGCAGTGGGTATACTGCCAAAGGCATGGCTCATTTATTTATAAAACCATGTGTCTGTTTCCTGTCCATGGGTGGTCAGCACAATTCAAGTGTAAGTGTTTCATAATTCCCCATTGCTTTTGGTGTTCAGTCTAGATATCCATAGATGTAGCAATTTTTTTTATTTGCTCTGGGAGCTTTATGGGCTCTTTGCAACAATTCAAGTGCTTAACTATGTTATATGTGCTTTTTAATCATTTATACAGCTACATTGGAGAGTTTAGTGGTTTGCTTGGGGATGTATGGTCTACTCAATAGCTTTTAACTGTTATGACAGGGCTGATTAGGTTTATGAGGGGGTGAGGATGGGCTGGCAGGGGTGTGTGTAGGCAAGGATTTTGTTTAAAAGTGTTCAGAAGTTTCAACTTTATATAGAACAGCAGCTAAATACCGCCAGGCTGAAGATTTTTAACCTGCCAGTTCTGGACTCTGCCTAGATCTATTCCTACTTTGTGAACAGGGTAAGGACTAAATCACATGGAGCCTAAGTTTCCTGGTGCAGTTGTCAGTGACGAGATCAGCAATGGCCTGTAGGAATTTTACAAACACAGGAAGAAAACTGAGGTTTTTTCCGACTTCACAAAACACAAATGTTCAGGGCAAGATACAACTTTCCAGAAGGAAAGTTGGCATGACAGGAAAGAAGTCTGTGTCCCGTAGCCATAATTAGCAGTGGATGGGCTGATGTGCTATAGAGTCAGACTTCTGCCTCTCACTGAGAAAGTTGCTCCGGTAGTCCTAGCAGCATCAGAAGATTTCTGAAGAAGGGTCTAGGCCCGAAACATCAGCTTTCCTGCTCCTCTGATGCTGCTTGGCCTGCTGTGTTCATCCAGCTCTACACCTTGTGATCTCAGACACAAGGTGTTGGATGTAAATAGTAGTCGGCAGAGGAACAGGGGGACGGGGTCAGGTAGGAGGGCTGCCGTGATGCCAAAGCATATAGCGCCTTCACATTTCATGTCATTTTGTAAACCTTTGTTTTAGCAGAGGTTTGCCCAAGCAGACTGCGCTATGGCATGGGCTGTGTAATACCAATTGAGCTTTTAACAAGCTTAATTGGCTCTTAATTATTTATTTGCTGATTTCAGGGTCTGCCTGCCAACCTCCCACTTATCAGTGTTAGCTCATAGGTGGTATACTAGCCTCCTGCCCTGTGTTACATGCCTGCCTGCCAAAATCACATCTGGTGGAGTCACATAATATCTAATGCTCAAAGTTTCTCTCATTTTTTTTGTTCAGCCTCCAGTGGTCTTTTACAGATACCGAGTGGGCTGCAGAAATGATGGTGTTTCTGCATCACACAACCAATTTACCAATCTGAGTCAGATATACTGAAAGCAAAGTTATACTTCCAAAAAAAAAAAGGCACTAACTTATTTATTAGTGATCTGAATCTTCATGTTAATCAGGTGAGTCTTTACTTTGCAAAATTAGTTATCAATGTAGTTGCAATGGTTGCAGTTGTAGCTATGTCTTTACACATGTATCTAGGATTAGAAGAATGCATGGAGCACGTTAGAGATTATTCTATTATCCTTACATAATTTCACCTAAAAAAAATTCTGGAAGGTCACATACATAAAAGGGAGAGAATATAAAGAATTTACTGCACAATTATACATCTTAAACATTAGATTGAAATTGAATGGGAATCCCCAAGAGAGTTCCTTCCTAAATTAGTCAATAGAATAAGTGGAATCTGAAAAATTGTATCCTTATTTTAATGAAGATACATGTGTAAAGACATAGCTACAACTGCAACCATTGCAACTCCATTGATAACTAATTTTGCAAATTTTTAATCTATTTTAATTGCTATCAATGGTTCTGCAAAAAAAAAAGCTGGATTTCATTTCTGTTGCTTCAAAGTGTTACAATAAAATTGATACAGTAGAAATAGATTTTTGATGCATACTGCCGAGTAAGGTGGTGGGTGCAACTCATACGGGGGTGGTTGAGGAATCCCTTGAAAAGCATCTGCTGTTGTTCTCACACCTAAGTAGTAAGATAAATTAGAAACATTAAGTCGAACATATATATAACATTCCATTTAAAATACACAAGTTACTAGTCTTAAAAATAATAGGAGTGTAGTCATTTTGTAGGAAGTATCCTATAACTATCATGAAGTGGCAGATCGAAGATTGAACCCACAATTCCAATAAAGAGTATTGCCAGTCTCAGAACAAAAAAAAGTGACAATTAGAGACAAATTAATATACACAAAGAAAGGCTAAATGGGTGAAAATAATTAAAGCTCAAGTTTGCCAGTGACATTTTTGCAACTTTAAAGTTGACTTGTTTCACTGTAGAAATAGCGGAATTTAGGAGTAGTCACACGCCTTCCTAGTTAGAAATTAATAACTGACCTTCCTTGGCACTGCATACAGAAGCCAAGATCAAGTTCAATAAAGTATTGCATCATGACAATGATTCCTTCCAAGTAGTCGGTTGAACTTGCCTATTAGCTCAATACATTCTGGAGACATACACAGAAACAATATGCTGTGTCCAAAAGCTAATAGAATGTACACAGTGATAAGTTATTTTAAGAGTCATGATTATTCATGTTATTTACATTCAAGTCACTTGGAGATGCCAAAAATCACTTGCAGGAACACTTTTTTAAAAACAAAAAGCATTAACTAAAGAAATCATGTCATTCATAGTTTTGCACTGTTCTCTAATTTTGCACAATTGAAGTTTTTTTTTTGTGCTCCATTATTGCCAGAAAGGAGGCCTCGTAAATCAGAAAGACACAACACAGTTAAATGCAGGATAATGCTCTTTCATAAAAGCAATCCACATTCCACAGCACAATTTGTTATATAAAGTTTTGGCAAAGATCTGTAGCTCGGGTTGTGGATGAGGTTGTTGACTTGCTCACCGAGCTGGCTTGTTTTTGTTCAGACATTTCATCACTATGCTGGGTGACATCATCAGTGGAGCCTCTGATGAAGCGATGTTATTCTGCTCCGTTTGGAATTTATACTGTCCGGTCCGTCATGGTGAGTACTGTCATTTCCAGTTTTGATCAGTATGGGTTTGTATATTGGGTCCAATTCTATATGTTTGTTGATTGAAATATGGGTGGAGAATCAGGTCTCTAGGAATTCCCGTGCATATCTATGTTTGGCTTGGGCTACTATGGTTACTTTGTCCCAGTTAAACTGATGGCCTTCATTGTCTGAATGTACCAATACTAAGGAGAGTTCATCGTGCCGTTTTGCTGCTAGCTGATGTTCGTGTATTCTGATGGCTAATTTCCTTCCTGTCTGTCCGACGTAATGTTTGTGGCAGTCGTTGCATGGTATTTTGTAAACCACGTTGGTTCTGCATGTTGTGGGAATGGGGTCTTTAATCCTTGTAAGTGTTTGTCGTAAAGTGACTCTGAGCTTGCGGGCGACCAGGATTCCTAGTGGTCTTAGGAGTCTTGTTGTCAGTTCCAATATGTTCTTGATGTAGGGCAGTGTGGTCAGTGTGTTAGGTGGTACCGTTGTCTGTTTTTTAGGCATCTGTGGATGAAGTTGTGGGGATATCTGTTTAAAGCGAAGATCTTCTATAAGTGTTCTTCCTCTTTCCTGCGTAGTTCTGGAGTATTGCAGTGTGTCCTAGCCTGAATTCCTAGAGGCATGGTTCTCCACCCATACTTCAATCAACAAACATAGAATTGGATCCCATATACAAACCCATACAGATCAAAACCAGAAGTGACAGTACTCACCATAAGGGACCGGACAGTATAAATTCTAAGCTGAGTAGAATAACTTCGCTTCTTCGGAAGCTCCACTGATGATGCCACCTAGTATGGTGACAAAATGTCTGAACAAAAACAAGCCAGCTTGGCGAGCAAGTCAAAAACCTCACAATTTGTTATAGTTCCTGTGCTGGTATCCTATACCATTAGTGTGATGTTCCTATTTTAGAGCCAGTCAGCAATAAATGAAGGAATTTTCTACAATGGATCGTAACTCAGAAACATGTTTCACATTGGATGCTTGCTACATTAAATATAGAAAACTCCGATTTCGGCTTGATATTTACTCTCACCCCAGTGCCTATTTGTGTTGGATCCACATCCTTGGTGCTTTATATTTAAAATAGACAATTATATAAGTCTAACTATTATCTATTTGCAGTAATGCCAATTTAATTATAGTATTTTAAAGTGCTCAGCTTATTACAGGCAGAAATAATAGTGCTTACTTCTTTAAGGAGCAATGAATGAAAGAACAAACATATGCATTTAATTAACACCTTATTAATGTTCCATTACCTTCTGCACTTTTAAGAACTTTCAACCGACTCTAATTGGCATCGGGTTACAATTTATGCTTTAAATAAAGACAACTCTGATCAGCAGCTTTAATGAAAGCATTGTTTGGGTTGGGTACTAGATCTGTGATAATTGCGCACCAATTGATCACAAATAAACTGATACTCTTTGAATAGCTTGCTTGTTATATTAAAATGGGATTTTCCTTACTGTTCTGAACCCCTGGGTGATTTAACAGCAGCAGAAACACACAAGAGATTAAGATTAATCCAGTTGAAGAAGTATAACAAAAAAGTCCTGAAAGAACTGTGGATCCTGGAAATCAGAAACAAAAACAGAAATTGCTGGAAAATCTCAGCGGGCTGGCAGCATCTGTGGAGTGAAAGCACAGTTAATGTTTCAGGTCCAGTGACCTTTCTTCAGAACTCTGCTCTCTCTCCACAGATCCTGCCAAACCCGCTGAGTTTTTTCAGGCATTTTCACAAACAAAATAAGAAATTGCTAAGCCTCGGGAACAATTAGGTCTGGGGGAGAAAAAAAAAAGTCATTTGGCTTGAAATGTTAACTCTGTTCCTCTTTCCACAGACGTTGCCAAACTTTGTCTTTTAGGGTACAGTAAGGACTGTTCCTAATCTGCATGGGTCAGTGCAGCTAGTAACTTTTAAATGTTTAGGAAACATCCTTATCTAAAGTCATAGTAGAATTAGTAAGAATCCTCAAAATAGATGGGGCACACTAACAAGCATGTGAACCGGACAGGAGAAAACAAACATGCAACTAACCCAGAGTGAGCTGAAAAATGCAATGCAAGCTACTCAATGAATTAAATTTTCCTTCTCTTTGCAGACAGTAGTAACCAAACCTCCCAATGGTTGTCCAATTACTTCTTGTCCAATTTACCTACTTGCTGTGTATGTTTCCTGCAGTACCAGTTTTGTAAGTTGGGCAGGACCCTACCCTGAGATACAGAGATCACTGCTAGCAATCACCCTGCCCAATTCTGCCCTCCTCGATTGCTGCTTAGTTTCTCTCCAAAGTTTATTTAAACAGCCCTACAATAGCAATCACATAAAAACGAGGGTTGGACTTTTATCACTCAATTCCCAAGGATTATTTTTAATTAGCTGTTAAGTTAGCTGATCTCTGTGCAGTATTACAGATGCATTTTGTTTCCAAGCAAAAGGACAAGGAAAGCAAAACCACGTTATTGTTGTCATAGAGATAGTAGGAACTGCAGATGCTGGAGAATCTGAGATAACAAGGTGTGGAGCTGGATGAACACAGCAGGCCAAGCAGCATCAGAGGAGCAGCAAGGCTGACGTTTCGGGCGTAGACCCTTCTTCAGAAAATGATTTGTTATTGTTATTGTTATTGTTGTCATAGCCAGAATTGGTTCAGCGTTAATATTAAATTGCTTTAATATTAAATTGATCCTAATGTACAAGAACATGCCTCCTGTTGGTCCATATACATATCATCAATAGGCATATTTTTTGAAAAAAGAACAAGTTTGTCAGGTATGATCTTTCTCTTATTTGATGAATTTGGGAAAGGTAAGCACTGTGGTGTTTTGAAATGAAAACAAAGCACTGGAGAAACTCAGCAGATCTGGCAGCATCTTTGGAGGGAGAAACAGTTAACATTGAGTTGTGTTGATTCAAAACATTAACTCTGTCTCTCTTCAGATGTGCCAGACTAGCAGAGTTTCTCCAAGAACTTTTTTTATTTTATAAACTCTTGCTGGTTGTTTATGATTAGCTGAAAATTTAAGGTGTTCAGAATTCTATATTTAATGACAGACAATAATAATTTTCTGACAACAAATATTTGGCCAAAATTGTTTCCTGACAACAGATATCAAGTTGACTGATTCATAAATTTCCTGGCTTCCCCCTTTTCGCCTTTCTTAAAAAGCAGTGTGATGTGCACTATTTTCCAATCTGAAAAAGGTACTGTTCTTGAATTGACTGAACTTGAGGATTATAGTTAGTACATCTGCAATATTCTCACTTAGGATGGGACGCACCTGATCCTGGGGAGCTGTGATTTGTTAGCATTGTTATCTTCTTCATTGTTACTTTTCTCATGTTAATTTTCTCCCTGATTCAATTAGTATTTTTTAAAATGTCCTGCATTCTGAGCTTTTACTCTGCTGCACATACTGATGCAAAGTAATTATTCAACATATACAATATTTCCTTATTTATTGACAATAATAACATTGGTAGTTTAAGGGATCCACATGACCATCCTCTTTTCATAGAATAAAAAAAAATGATTTTTGATGTCCCTTGCATGTTTTCCCCATAATCTTATTGGTAACTTTTGTCTGTTTTATCATCCTTTCCACCTTTTCACTCACTGCCATCTTTTACATTTTAGTAAATTTTTAATCTTTTCATTTTTGTTGTCTCTTATTACTTTACATAACTCTCCATTGCTGTTCTTTGACCAATCAAGCTCTTATCTCATAGTGGTTTACACTTTGTTCTGCCTCATATTAGGTACTTTTAAAATGCCACTCATCGATATACTGTTACTCCAATCAGAAGGTGCTGAGACATTGCTTGTTTGCATTCTGGGAGCGGACTACACAGTCAGTGTGGGTGTGAAGGGTATCGTGGAAGATCCTGTTACTGAGGAATGGTAAGCCCCACACATTACGCTGCTGTAGTATTTCCATCCTTCCTCCCTCCTCAAGGAGAGGCAAGATTCAGAG